ACGAGAAACCGTCTCCAGAAGATCCGTTGTGGGAGAACTGTAAGAACTAGTTGACAAGATACATATCACTACAAGAGCTAGAGAGGAAGCCATGTTTGCATTGCGAAAGGCACTTTTCATTGCCACGATACATGAAACCTATTCCGTTAGAGGCACTTTTCGTGCCATCTTATACCAAGTCTGATTTCTGAACCCCGCGTATATGCACATTTTTGCACGCGTATACGTGGGCTTTGACAGGTACGCATATATACGGGGTTTTAGCAACGCGTATAGACGTGCATTTGATTTTGCACATATACGCGTATTAAATACGCGTATATACGCGATATAAATGGTTGTATATGGGATAAAAGCCCATACATAGCGATTATAAACGATTATACGCGGCAAAAAAGCCCACGTACACGATGTCATAATTTTGAAACGGATGGCCAATCATAATGGTTAGCTTGTTCTGTCTTCTCTAAGGAAGATAAAAAGTACGCTCTGCCTAGTGAGGTCAAATAACAAGGAACAGTTCAAGAATGACAAGATGTGACTTGTTTTTGTGATTTAGATCGATGCTTAGAAGCCCCACAGAGAGCGTTAGTTTTCGCAATAGATATAATCCGTTTTAGTTGTTGCCTAAACGCGCCAACAGTTATGATGCAACGCTAACTTAGAGATAATCAAAATCGAAAGAAAGTAAGATAAAGACAAAACATTTGAAACCTCTCCTAAAATTTATTTACATTTCGTAACCAAAGTTGCCGCAAATCGACTAAAAGAGGTGTATTTGGAAGTTTAAGGATAATGGAAGCCACCGACAATGTTAATCAAAACAGCACATAAAACGTGCAAATCCAATTTGCCTTTAACAAGAACGATCAGACTACTTATTGACAATTTAGATTCTAGTTTGTGCTATTTCCAGTAATGATTGAAAACGACGCCTGAAACAGACCACAGGGTAACCACAAGATATAAGTGGTTAACATGATACTGAGGCATAGAATACCTGCTAGTTTAAAGCATTGCGACCTTCCTTTAGACAATACAACAAATTAGGCTACGTGTAGGTCTATTTTGTTCTCTTTCTTCCGTATTAACTGTTCTAAACGTTCTCACTGTTTCATTTTGTTGCTCAGACAAAATCCTTTCTCTAATCATGCTGGCCCTTTCATAGTAATAGTTGGCTTGACTGTTCTGTCCAAGGTCTCTGCAAACATTTCCCAGGTTGCTGTAGCTTGCCGCTACGTGACCATGGTGTTGACCGTAAATTTCTTTTGTAATGATAAGAGCCTTCTCATAGTATTCTTTAGCTTCACTGTGCTGGCCAAGGTTTCTGTAAACAAGTCCCAGGTTCTTGTAGGTTTCTGCTACGTCACCATGGTGTTCCCCGTGAATGTTTTTTCTAATCGCCAGAGCCTTCTCATAGTATTCTTTAGCTTCATTGTACTGGCGAAGGTCACCGTAAAAAGCTCCCAGGCTGCTGTAGCTTTCTGCTACGTCTCCGTGTTGTTCACCGTAAATCTCTTTTCTAATGATGAGAGCCTTCTCATAGTATCCTTTCGCTTGACTGTACTGGCCATCAAGGTTTCTGTAAGCATTTCCTAGGTTGTTGAGGCTTGCTGCTACGTGACCATGGTGTTGACCGTAAATTTCTTTTCTAATGACCAGAGCCTTCTCACAGTGGTCTTTAGCTTCATTGTACTGGCCAAGGTTGCTCTAAACAATTCCCAGATTGTTGTAACTTGCTGCTACGTCACCATGCTTTTCACCGTAAATCTTTTTTCTAATGACCAGAGCCTTCTCATGATATTCTTTAGCTTTACTGTACTGGTCAAGGTCCGTGTGAACATTACCCAGATTGTTGTAGCTTGCTGCTATGTCACTATGGTGTTCACCGTAAATCTCTTTTCTAATTATTAGAGCCCTCTCATACCATTCTTTAGCATCACTGTACTCGCCAAGGTCACTGTAAACATTTCCTGGGATGCTGTAAGTGTTGGCTCTTAACATTTTGTCGTTTTTAAAGTCAAGAAGAGAATGTATAAACTTACAGCTTGACCTACCAAAAAAATATGCATCCGACGGATTACTAAGACCACAGCAAACATCAGCAGTTGAGGAAAGCCACGAAACTAACTTTCCAGGAGTGACAGCATTCAGAAATGTTTCCGAATTATCGAAATAGGTGCTGACATATCCCTGTAATACTTTACAGTGACTCGTAATTAAACTTAACTTGGCAAACGCATTCCTACTTGAATGTAACAGATTTCTGTTCGTTACAATTAAAGAGTGAAAGATCTCAATCACATCAGAAATGCACTGAACTCTATCTTTTGTTTCTATTTCAGATAATATAACTGACTCAAGCACTTTATGGACAATGTCATGCATCCTTAAAAAAGTATATGCCTTTTTCTCTGGGTCCTCGTTGTCGTGCAAACACGACAATAAGGAGAAACTAGAAAGTTTAGCTTTGATCAGTTCTTCTGTTTGCCCAGTGATACGTAATTTCACGTAGGCAACCGCAACTTCCATCGGAAGAGACTCAGGTGCGCATAGAGAAAACAAATACAATACTTCTCGAAGAACTTCATCAGATTCTAAAGCTCTCATAATTGCCATTTGAATGGCACTAGACTGTGTCTTGGGATACGCTATGTTCTGCTTGGCAAGAAGTTTATCTGCAGCTTCACGTTCGCCGTAGGAAAGGGCCTCCAAGTAGTTTTTCCAACTGAAGTTCGGCGAACCACTGACCACAATGGTTTGTACATAAAAGGCAGCGGCTGCTAAAGCAAGTGGCTGATACTCAAGAACTTCAGCGACGTTTTCATCTTGGTTCTGATCCTGAATCTGAGATACCTGTCGTAATAGGTTCACTGCGTCATAACATAAAAGGCAGCGGCTGCTAAAGCAAGTGGCTGATACTCAAGAACTTCAGCGACGTTTTCATCTTGGTTCTGATCCTGAATCTGAGATACCTGTCGTAATAGGTTCACTGCGTCATCGGGATGCATTCCATTGCTAAGAGACTCATGGTAAGTAAGTGGTGCATTGGAGGGTATTGAGCTGCTATCTTGAGTAGTTATTAGGACCTGACCATGGCCCCATTCTTCACTGCCGGTCGGGGGCAGATCACCACAAATCGAGGATAGGTCGACAACATTATCTGCTATTATAAGCCAATTAGAGAATTGCTTTGTCTTTGGATAAATGACTTGCTTTAGATACTGGATTTTGTATCTTGGATCCCCCTTTGTAGAAGTCTCGAGGCTGGTTAAAATGTATTCTGTAATTCCCAAATGTCTTGCCAGACTGGAATAGGAGGCTGCAAGTGAATCAAGGGTTTCTGCACTCAGCGTTGCAACAAATATTAGACCATCGTTTTTATGCGACCACTTGTCGAAAACCTCCTCTCCCAGTTGTCGAGCGATTTGAGTTTTGCCGCAGCCCGGAATTCCTGATAAATAAATGGTGCTGATCGCTCCTTTGCTTTCATTTTGAAGCTCTTCTAGTTTTTTCAAGATCCTTGTTACATCGTTTGATCTTCTGATGATATGATGTGATGGCTTAAATGTCAGATTACAGAAAGATTCGACTTTGAAATTGATTTCCTGAGTAAGTGTTTCTACTTCTTCCTGCTTTGTCTGTAATGTGGCTTGGGTCGATTGTAGTTCCGAGGTTAGATTTTTGATTTCTTCTTCTTTGGTTTTCAACGTAGCTTTAAGATTATCAGCCTGCATTTTAAGGCTGTTTACTTGAGCTGTTGGAAAGTGTGTCTGGTTTTTTATATCATCAACTTCATTTAATGGAAGCTTCAGTAAATTAAAAGCAGCTGACACTCGCGCTACATAATGATGGAATTCAGCATCAGTAAGTTCAACCTCGTTCAAGTGAGCGATATCATTTCGAACTTGTCTGAGATCGTCAACTTCGTTTCTGACTACTGGACTAAGAGTAGTGCCAATGCAATCCGAGTGCAAAATTGCAAAAAACAGGCAACTGCAATCCCACTCTGCAGTGTTCCCCCTTTGTATCGTCACTAAATGTCGCGCATTCTTTTTGTGACTCTTTCGTGATTCTTTCTTGTAGAAATCGCAGCCATTTTTTGAAATATCTTTCCATTCCCCAAATGGAGTTGTCTTGTAAAGGAAATCCCACTCTTGTTTGAAGACTTTTCGAAGCCCTTTGGCAACTAAGTTGAAGGCGATGTAACTTGCTCTAAAATAGTTTAATTGTTCCAAAGTGTACTCCATGTTTGACTGGGATCTGGTAAAAATGTGCGAATGAAGCATAAAATCAGGTAAAGTAAAGCGCGAATCAACACCCATCCCCCGGGCAAACCTCGGGCATTTGACCATTGATTGCTCCCGGGGAATAAGGAATTTGGTGGTGTAAGGCTTTTCATCGGGTTGGGGATTTGACCTTTGCCCTGGTGAGGTGGAGAATTTCAACCAAGTGTCTCGAGTTAAATTTCTTTGAACGATCCTTTGTACGCTCCGCATAGTTCAGCGAGAAAAAAATTAACGTTAAGGTTGTAAGCAAAAGAAAAATTCCTTACAATTGTATTAAAAGCTACGAAAGTGAAGAATAACAATTTGCTAAGGTTATTATTTTGCAAACGAGAAACACTGACCATTTCGTCCTGTCTTCAAGTTTCAAAAAGTGATGACTTCTTTTAATAATTGTTTGCTTACGTTTTTTTTTTTATAACATTGCCAAAAGAAATAATTACGTCATACAGTGGAACCTCTCCTTTGAGACAACTCTATTGAAGGGACAGCTCCATCCAGGGGACACAAAATTGGTCCCGGAAAAATGTTCACATAATCTCTGTAGTTGTTAGCTCTATTGAAGGGACACTTCCATTCAGGGAAAGGGGATACCTTCTGTGGGTCCCGAAACCTGGTTTTATCCTCCATTCAGGGGACACCTCAGTTAGCACCCAAAAAGTGATAGACCGCCAAAAGGGTTGATAAGTTTCATTGTTCACTAGTCAAAATAGCTACAGCTTTAGGAACTATCTCACTAAAATCAATATATTAAACTTGTGGGAATTCAACACACAACATCGCAGAGGTCATTAAATCATTACTTTTATGCATTATCTAGCTGCATGAAGTAATGTCTACAGTGGATTCCGAGGAAGAATTAAAAATATGTTATATTTTTTGGTTAATTATTAACAAACCCCGACCCAACTTCCTTTATGAGACTCGTCTATTCAAGCGACACTTGCCTTGGTCCCTATATAAAGGTTCCACTATAGTTTGACGAGCGCGTACTTGTACTGACTTAAGTCTCAGGAAACTCTCAGTGTGGTGCAGTCAGGATCCATGACCCTAATTTCACTATTTTATTCGCCGTTTCAAAAAACTTCAAGAGAATCAGGACGATTGGGACGATTGGTGATTTTCATATAACGGCCTCGATCGATTGGAGGTCGAGTGGTCGTCAGCGATGTTTACGTCATTTTTGCTCGTGCTTCGCAAACAAGCCAAACGTAATGGCGGATTTTTGTCGGAGATCTAGAGCGAACCACGTGGCTTGCTATCTGCTTATTCTCTAAATTTTGCAGCGTAGACAAGCTAGAGGAATTCAACGAAGACGTAGCATCACGTCCAGAGCTTAATGGAACGGACTTTCTCTTTTTTAGATTTTGCCCATACGCGGTACGAACACTTTAGTATTTAGTCCGGGCCGAATTGCTCCTCCATTACTGGAATAAGAGTGATGCTTTCTGGGGTAGCCTTCTATCGTTCCGGTCGTCGCAGACGTCTGAGAATGTTTCCATATGATCGCTTCAAATTTTACACGATCGTCCCAATCGTCCGGGTAGAACTCAATTCTATCCAAACGATCGAGGTCGTCCTAATCGTCCGGGTCTTTTGCGATCGTCCGGGTAGTGTCTCCATAAAATTGGCCCGATCGCCTGAACATTATTTAAAAGAACTGGGGCCATTGGGGCACCCAGGAGAAACGGCTGGTTTACTGGGTAGAAGAGTGATGCAAAAAACACCCTGACGATCATATAATAACTCTTTTTAAAGTGCATACCGTTAGCCGCTTCGCCGTAACCAACGAATCAAAACCCCTTAAATTCACCGCACCTAAAGCCTCCCTTGTTTTGTATTAGTATAATATTCGCATTGCCTACCCGTTGTCCCGACACGGGGAACTAAGTTATGGGAGGAAACCTCGACTGCCAGGACAATAGGTATGCCGATTATTGGGGATATGCGACGTCAACTGCTACCAAAAGGGAGGTAGGAGGGGCGAAACTTCCAAGTCACTTCCACTTAACTCCGTTGAACTGGCCATAAGGCGGGCAAAAACAAAGCAATTCTAAGCAAGGGCCGCAATGCATCATGCCATCAGCGCGCTGGCCGAAAACGAAAGAATTAAGGGGAGTTACATGTACTTATCTCCCGCGTCACGGGCCAATTATTTATGCAGTGAGAAAAGACATATTAGCCACCCAAGCATAAGAATAAGCAAAAGGATCATCACAAGGGACAGACATTCTTGCTCGCGAAACAATGGCGGAGGCGCAGAAAATTTGAGCTAATGTCGCTCCCAAACAAGGCATCCAACTTGGCGGGAATGAGATGTTTCGCGGGCAGTGCGCTTTGATTTGTTTGTTTTTTTTTTTCCGGGTGCTTATGTTGCATTGCCGGCAAGTACCATCAACCTACGTGCAAGTAACATCGATTCAAACAAAATTACCGTCAAAAGGACTGTTCTTCTGTGAACAAACTTAAACTTACGTAAGCGCTGTTTCACGCTAAGGGAGGATCCGTAAATAGGTCACTGTGATGACGGAGAGAGAGAGAGAGAGAGAGAGAGAGAGAGAGAGAGAGAGAGAGAGAGAAACGGACTAATAAACCAATGTATGATATTTCTGGTTTACAAATAATAACCACTGTTGTTAATTACTCACTCCGTTCTGACTTAAGGACTTTATCCCCTGCAATTTAAACTTGACGAATCTGCAACAAAAAGAAGCATCAAAATGTTCGTCGAAGATGAGACAAATTTACATTGAAGCACAATCCATGCATCAGTTGACCGACGACAGTGGCTCTCCTTGTAATTGCGAATCCTACCGGCTGCCAAACAAACTATTAATTACTGCCGAACAGTGCACACGAGCAACGGATTTCAGATCAATTGGGATGGTCAATTAGGTTACCTGTCAACTGTCATCATGACTTACTTGTCACAGCGGTTGTTAGTACGTAAGCTATTTAAGAGGTGCAGTCAACCCTATTAATACGGACACTGAGGGGGCTACAGAAAGTATCCTTATTAACGGGGTTGAATTAAGAGAAAATGTACGGGCTTTCTTTACCCAGGGGCAAAGTAAACTGTCCGTAATAATGAGGTGTCCGTATTAGGCGGGTGTCCGTAAAGCGGGGTTTGAATGTAATTACTTATGTCATATCGGCAGAACTTTCAGCATGGCTTCCTTTTTTTTTGTTTTACTCTCTCTCTCTCTGTTTTTTGTTATGTAAGACTGAAGAAACCTTTCATCTCATTTTAAGTAAGACTTTGTCTTGTGGCTTCAACAAAAGTGGGAGGTAAACTTCTTGTTTGAAGGCCAGGATTTCGTAACAATAATTGCAATAAAACAAACTTTGTTGGGGTGCCACTTTAACCTGCTGCGATCACAGGTTGAGTCCTGACTCATAAGAAAACGTTATGCTAATTTGCCGAATCAGAGAACTTGTGAAGTGTCAATTTTAACTAATTACTCTTTCGAGTTGCTCCTGGTACTTTAAAGCTTTCTGCCTTTTCTACTGCTGAGATAATCTTGATGAATCTACAACAGTGGCAAGTAGCAAAATGTCGGCCGAAGATGAGCCAAACTAAAACAGAGGCACAAACGATGCTTCAGTTGACTGACGACAATGACTTGGTTTGTTTTTGCGCATCCTGTTATAAGCTATCACTCAAACAAAAATTACTGCCGAAATCACACAAAGCTACACGATTGTGGCACGAATAGTGTGCATGAACAGCGGATATCAGACATGTCAGATCATAGTTAGTAGAGGAGACTGGTTAGGAAAGCCGGCAAACATCAAAGTTGAAAACAACGGTGCTTTAGTTTATGTTGGAAGCTTCCTGACCGTGCACAATCCATTGCTTTTTGTTCAGAAATTATGACTGAATAAATTAATGCGATGTTTCTATTGGTGTGTAAGTTCAAAATGATAGGAATGCTATTGAACGTTGTGCACGGTCAGGTCCAAAAAAGATAACATAAACATATAACAAAGGGTTTCCCAACCATTTCACTTTAATTAACTGTCATCAGATCAATCGAGAAGTTTTGGTCCACTAATCACGACTTGTCAAAACATTATAAAACAGTTCCTTTTCAGTAAACTCTCACGAAATTATTATCAGAACTCTCAGCAAAGCTAATGCTGCGCACATTTTGGCGGGAAATTATGGTGGAAACAAACCTTTTTTTCACGTGATATGAGGCTATTATTAGGGAGTCAACAAAACTGATGGAACAATAACTGAATGAAGGCCAGAATGTCGTGAGAATTATTTGCAAACAACAAAGCTTGATACAAATTAACGGTTGGGGTGTTATTGTAGTCTAAAGTATTAGATGTAGAATATGATCTGTTTGCCACCTTAACACCAATCAAAGAAACCCATAAATAGCGCAATATGACTAGAACAAACTCGAGGGATACTTTGTCAAAGCCTATGATATTTATCTAAAACAAAGGTACCGTGAATCGCTTTGTGCTGTCCATACTTCTCCAATCCAGCTGATGAGTTCCCAAAAGATATGAAAGAATCAACAAAGTAATGTAAGTCTAATTGAAGGAACGACTATCAGAAAAGTGGATATGTACTTAATACCCACTTCGCTAATAGTAATGAATAAATAGTGAAAACTTGGCAATATTCGTTGTCTTGCAAGTTAACTGAAGCTTACTGTCGGCGGTATTTTCTTTAAGTAAATATTCTGTCATATGGACCAATGCACAGTACACCTTGCTCAGTGGCGATGTCGTCTCTTTTCCCAAAAGTCACATGCAAATGCTACGATTCCTTTACCTTTTTGTCTTCTACATTGACGGAACACAAGATGCCAGTCAACAAAACAATCGGTAACAAGTCAGGAACAGAAACCGAAAGTACAAACGAAAAAAAAACCCAAACTAACATTGAGACATATGAAATGCTTCGCTTCGCCCATAAGGAACAATTTTGGGTAACTAAGGCAACTGGTCACTTTGTTTCGCCAAACAAAAAAAAAACTTACTTGACCCTTGTGAGTAAGAACGATTGAAGTTATAGTTTTATAGTGTCACAGTAATGAAAACAAAGTTAGTAGGTCTTTTTATCAGCTACCAATTTTTATTTTTGTAATTACCCCTTTTTAGCAGTTGTGTGTTTGATTTGGCGTAATAGGCCTAACGCCCTTTGGCTGAAAGGGGAGCAAGAGTTGGCTTTGTTTTGATAAAAATCTTTCATTATCATCATCATTATCATCATCATCATCATCGTCATCATCATAATGGTAATAATACTGGTAATGATAATAATAATAATAATAATAATAATAATAATAATAATAAAAAGAAGAAGAAGAAGAAGAAGAAGAAGAAGAAGAAGAATAGTAATAAATGTTTTTAGTCAGGGTAAGTTGCTATATTTATATTTAAAAAGCAAAACACTAAGGCCACTAGAGTTATTAGCTGGTATGAATGGGGGTACCTACGTAGATAACACTAAACACTTTATTTTTTGGCTCTGTAACATAAAACAGTTAAATTTTAGGCATTTTAACACTTACGGTAAAAAATTATCTGTAACAGTAAATTTTATCCAGAAGGAAACAAAAACGGCTCCAAAAAGGGCAATGTGATTTTGTTCAGTGTATCACGGCTTTCAGTGAACTTGCAGAATGTTTAGCACGGATCCCACCTAAAATAACTTTGTATGGACGTCTTTTTAAATACAATTACGTGGGATGTCTTCCGCTTTTAATGTTTAGTGCTGATTTGCTGTTTGCAATCAAAAGGGACGCGTATATCTTCAAGGACACAGGATGATTTTGTAGGTTTCCGAAGCATCAGAAGCTCGACAAGTGGGCGATAGCTGCAGAAAAGCGTCAAACATGTGCCCAAACCCTTCACATTGAAACCGAGTATATACGAAAGCCAGCAATTCCGTAAAACAGGAATATGAACAAATCTTGGTGGCAAGAAAAAAAGAAATAAGCGACAGCCGGCCTACTTGTTAACGCAAGAGACGTCTGCCATTGAACAAAGCTGTTCAAGTCGAGATGGAAAAAAGGAAGACAGGAAAGAAGAGGTGACTGAGGTTTCGATGAAGTTATGTTTGGGTTTTGTTTGCCAGGACGTTATTCTCAGGTCTTCATTGATGAAGGACATCATTAGAACTATTTATTTTTTAGTATAAATGCAGGAGCGATCGCCAGAGTGGAGTATGCCCAAAACTTGTTACTCGGCAGACTCGGTAAACCGGCCACATATCATTTCGTATTTCGTATCTTTGGCTGTTAAGAGTTTTAACTTTATGTTCCATAATATTTTAATTTAAAGTTGAAGAATACATAAATAAATAAAATGATGGTCTGCTGTGTTCAGTCCTGACACAAACATGCCTTAAAAGTTTAACCTAGTAAAAGGTGAGCTTTATACCACTTTTTTACCAAGCGCTCTCTGAGATAATGCCCTAAAGGAGACCAGGCAAACAGCGAGCCATAAGATTCACACTCTACAGCTTCTAATTTTGAGGAACTTATTTTATTTCGCAGTGACAAAGAAATCATGAGATTTTTGCTAAGCTCTGCCAATAATTCACTCCAAAGCGACGGAATTAATATGATCCAAAGGAAGTTGTAAATACAGACATAAATATATTCATAGATATGTATAAAATGATACTGACATGAATGAATGAGCCTTGTGAATGAATCTTTCACCCACTTTCCTCTTGACCTGTTTTGTGTAATGCCGGAGGTCTCTTCCGTTTACAAGTAGGCCGTTGAGTATTTCTTTTTTTCTCGCCACCAATATCTGTTTTTATTTCTGTTTTACAGAATTGTAGGGAGCTGGCTTTCGTATTCGGTTTAAGTGTGAAGCTTGGGCCAACATATTTGCCGCTTTTCTGCAGCCATCGCCCACTTTTCGAGCTTCTGACGCTTCGGAAACCTACAAAATCATCCTGTTTTCATGAAGATATACGCAAACAGCAAATCAGTACTAAACATTGAAAGCTGAAGACATCCCACGTAATTGTATTTAAAAAGACGTCCATACAAAGTTATTTTAGGTGGAATCCGTGCTAAACATTCTGCAAGTTCACTGAAAGTCTTCATTTGCAATTTTTGTTTATCCTCCAACGCCTCGCTTTCATGACTAGGCACCAGTTTTTCCCCGCGTGTCCGCCATTTGTGAATACGGTGTATAGTCTTATTACTTCAGTCCAGCCTGTTCACGTGACCTTAATGAAAAATGGCAGACGTCACGTTTTTAACAGAACTCGAGGAGAGAAATAGTTGCCCCCACCCCTCTATACTGGTCCTTATGCATCAGCTCATCCTTGAGACACGGAATATCCGCCTTCTGATATAAACACCACGCAAATTTTTAAGAGAAATCAGGGCATGAGCCGAGCCATCCCGGTGAGGCATGCCAGTCCGGCTAACAGGGCTAGCTCACCTCATATGAACAGGCCCTCTAATCCTACCCCATATATGGGGGTACCACCTCTCCTCCGACCACCCCCCCTCCCGCCCGCTTTATTGGAATCAGAAAAAAGAAGGCTGGTCTGGCTAGCCGAAATATTGTGTTTGAAAAGGTTGGGGTCAGCCTTTGTTTCAGCCTTGCAGGTCTGGCAGTGGTCTTTTGGCTTTATTTCAAATAATTTTAGCCGATTAGGATACCGGTAACTCTGAAAAACTCAGTTTATTGGCAGATAAACACCTCTGGACTTTGCTCTCGCAGACGACGTTGTTGGCGCCGAAAAAGGCGTCTGCTGTCAATAATCAATGACGCACCAGAGGCGTAAAACTTATGAGCGACTTAAAGGTGCATGGTATAAATGGTGATCAACACGATCCTGCAAAAATCAGCCATGAGCGTGTAGGATTAAAATACCTTGTGCCAGGACCCCATTACACTGCTTGTTCCCAATGGTTTCTAAACAGTCATAGAGCATTTCGTATGAATTTAAAAGAAAGAGGTCTCTATACAAGCTTCTCTTACGATCGACAGGTTTCTTTGTCTTACAACGTGTAATAGCTTACATGTCACCTCACCATTATCGCTGCAGTCAGGCTTCCAGGGCTTTACCCGTTTTTTAATCAGTTAACAAATGTAGAGGGATATGAGCCTTTTCCTCGTACGAAAAGACTCGTCGCCGTGTCGTAACAGCGCTTTTACTAATAGAATTAACACCAATTTCACCAAATGTGGGAAGGAACGATATGCTTTTTCAGAGGGCAAAAAAGTCACGAAAGAAAGATGCTACTTTGAACTTGAGGTTTTAAATCGAGCATCTGATAGTTTTCCAACGGAGTTGTTATTAATCAGCGAAGAAAACAGATTAATCAAGATAGCTGTGCTCCATTTGCAAAGAAGTTCTATGGAAGGCGAAGGTAATTTTTTGGTAGGTTTATTTCCATTCTGGGAAGCACGAAATTTGAAGATAGGTGTTTTAACAGTTTCCCGGGTTTGGAAAACTGAGATCTGAAGAAGTCAACCTTTCCGTCTAATACTAAGCAAATTGTCCAGGTACATCGCACCACATGCTGTTTCGCGAATTATTTTGCTTATCCCACATTTCTTTGTAAAACTTCCATTCTAAACTGTTATAATCATTTTTTTTACGTGTTCGCTGCTACCGCGCGTGCGTGAATTTTAATCTTGGCCATATAGATATCTTTAAGTTGCGAAAATTTCCCTCAGTCTCAGCATGTCGCTCTCCGTAAGTCTTTTCTTTTGATGGTCAGAGCCTTTTCATGGTATTCTTTAACTTCACTTTAGTGGCCAAGGTTTCTGTGAGCATTTCCCAGGCTGTTGTAGCTTTCTGCTACATCACCATGGTGTTCACTGTAAATCTCTTTTCTAGCGTTCAGGTAACTTTACAATGACTAGTAAAAAAACGTAACTCATCAAAAACATGTTTACTTGCATGTAAAAGATTTCAGTTCGTTTCAATGTAAGAGTGAAAGATCTCAATAATACCAGAAATGTACTAATCTGCATGAATTCTCTCCGTTTACTACATTTTAGAAGTAATAACTGACAACAAAAATCAACATTTTACAAACTTGCTACCGGTCCTCAATGAATGGCGTGGGACGAATGTAATTTGCAGTACAGTGCAGTGTAGACCATATATAGAGTTACAAGGTGAGTGGGCTCTTGAAACCTCGAATCTAAAGGTCTCTAATTATGACACTACTACTGAGAACCTTGTATCTTTGCATTGTTAATTCCTCAAAACTCTAAACAAGAAAGCGTAGGTTTCTCTGGGCATTTCCTCAGTTTCGAAAAAAGACACTGCGTTCTTAGAGATCATTTCCCACCGTCCCGTTCTCTCTAATTCGTTTATTTTCTCCAGGTAGTCATCCAGCTGGCCATCCCGCATGTTGAAGCAGATTATACCACCTATAAACAACAATACAAAACGTCTTACAATTCGAAATTACAGTTAGAATTATATTTGTGTAAGATGCCAGGATAGCATGGGGCAAAGAAGACAGTCTTTAATCCCTGAAAAGAGGATTTTCAGTTCCCCATCTCTCCCCGTGTTTTCAAGATGAAAAATAATCACTGTCATTATCATGGCCGTCATCATTCATCATCATTATCATTATCGCCACTTAGGTACTTAAGTATTCATGACACTCCCTTTTATGACAAACTCATGTGCAAAGAAAAAAAGAAAACAAAATTGATACCATGTTTCACTATCCTGACCATTTCATCAAGAGCAGCTGCCTTGATATGCCCCGCAAGGAGGGTACCAGCACATATAAGACCATCAAACTCTCCTGTTTGTATTTCAGAAATCTGTTTGTCAGTTAATGCGACGCAAAAAATCCTCTTGTAAATGTTCCTTTTCTTTGCTTCTTTTAACATTTCAGGTGAAATATCCAACCGTGAAGATTACTGTAACCAAGTGTTTGAAGTTCTATTCCTATTAATCTTGTCCCAGTTCCCACGTCAATGATTTTGAGGTCATCTTTTGCTTTTTCAGGAAAATTGTCTTTGAGGGCTCCATCCAAAGATTCCGCAAGTGGTTTGTGATAAACACAACGTGCTGCGTCGACAACATTCTAAGGGGTGGGGTAAACAAAGACATCCGATGAACGAGTGTTATATTCTGCTTAATTTTTAAAACTATTGAGGCTCATAATACGTCTCATCTTAGTATAGCACGTTTTTACTCATGTGGCCAGCATCGATGAAAATTACTTAGAAATAAAGAGAGTTTTAACACAAGGACAAGCTTCAATTCCCACAGGATCGGTTTGGAACAACATGGCCACCGTTTCATTGTTTTGGAACACTAATGTGGCGGATGTGACGTCACTTGAAAACTCACTGTAGGAAAATGGCAACCTCGTTCCCAGAGTTCTCTCCTACCCGAGGTCACCTCGTCCCCAGGTCTTCTCCTGCCATATTGGAAAACGAGACTCTGGGAGCGAGGTTGTGGAAATGGTTTTACATCAATTTTCCATCAATTTTCATCTTGTCATACTCCCGGCTCCTAATTTTCAAACGCTTCATGCGCTGTGTGTTCCAGCAATCCTGTCCTTTAGAAAATCAGGGTAAGACCTTTGCGCCAAACAATTCCCCTTCTTGGAAATTGTTTCTTGAGTCAGCTGTTACTAATTGGCACAATGTTATGGCGTTTAATACTCCAGCCTTAACCACGTCTGAGGGAAACCTTCTCAAATATGAGTTCGTTTAGGTCGTACCTCGTCTTCGGGAGGGGAATAATCTAACTGAATTCTCTACAGTAAAAACCGGCCTATAAGAACCTAGTGATTTACGTTGTAAGACCCAAGAACCTACAGGCTGAAATTTTGCATTTAAATACCCCAAAATACAAGAACTTGTTCAGCCTGACAAAGAGAAATAGCTTCCTATACAAAAAATCACTCCAATGTTGATGGTCAAAATTCTGGATTTTAATTGTGAGAAACTTCTGACAAAATGTTGTTTACATTATTTTGTTTGGATTTTCACTAGAAATATGATTTCCATAAAGTTAAGGTGCAATATAGACTATTTAAAATCTAAAACATCTATATATTTCTGCCAATGGCTACACAACCTCTGAAAAACAAGAACCTATTTTAAAGAACCTTATCAGCCTGAATTGTGAAAAACCATAAGAACCTGTTCCGCCTGACCTCGAAAATTCTAGGTTCTTATATGCGGATTTTTACTGTATTTCAAGCTAAGACTATAGATCAGATTTATTGCCACCGCAGGGATTTCGCCCAGAAGGCAAAACCCGAGGAGCCACTCTTAACTAGAGCGTATATTAAGGAAAGTACTTACAGTTGAAATATACAGTCAGTATGCCAGAAGAAATCTCGATTTGCTTCAACAGGGGCCGGCAAGAATCGGTAGGTAACGATGACGTTTCTATCGTTTACGCCCGCAAATACGAAATGGTTAGGATGACGTTAAGAGAGAAAATCCCAGAGGGACCGCTAAGGTAGATTTTGTGACATTCAGTTGTGCAGTCATACTTCGATACTCGTTTGCGTTACGTGTTATCAGTGACATTTTGTGGAGCAGTTATTTTGAAAGTTATGGACCAAAAGACACTCGTTAAGTGCAGATGAAGTTATAAGGTGCGTATTACTTGGAGATTTGCCTTTCTTGTATTTATCTCACCTATTGTATAGAATATGTGTGAAATTCTTCATTATGAATCGGTATATTTCGAAGAGCTACGTAACGAGCAAGAATACTATTGGGCAGCTGTAGTGTCAACTATTACTAGTATTTATTTTTTTCATAGATCTTTATTTCCTGGTAGCAATTTTTTTAGATCGAAAGTGAGGCTGTTCAACACGTTTGCACGGAACTATGCAAATTCTGTCACAGATTACAACACGGTATTGTTTCCCGTTTAATAGACTACAAGTAGTCCCCCATTTTTCCTGGTGGAACAATACTTCCTGGCGCGTGATTTTCACGCGCGCTCGCGTTTCGATCGCTCTGCTATTCCTGAGGAAAAATGGGGGACTACTCGTAGTCTACCCGTTTAAAAACGTGCACGGTTCCGCAGGTCTCTTGTAAGCGAAAGGCGGATCCGTGCAAGCTCATGTCCGTCCAAAAATTTATCTGCACCCGTGTAAACGGAGTCTAGGTCGTAGTTAATCTCGTACCCAGATCTCCCACGGCCATTGTAAAACAGAGTGAGATCTGGGTACGAGATTAGGTCGTAGTCAGATGGAATTGTAGTCACCTTGTCATATTCGCTGGCCCAGTCATCATAAACGTGCCTAATTCCTTCACTTGTTGTGTCATCTGAGATATTGGTCAGTCTGTCACCGTAGTATTTTCTCACACCAGCATCATAAGATTTGGCAACCATTCTGTCCCAGGATGAAAACACAGCAGGGTAGAATCATTCAAAATAAACAACAAGGGTTAGCATCCTGAAACAGGAACCCTTTTCTCTGTACAGTATTAATGAGGGGTACGTCCTCCCGAGTAGAGTGGCAGGATTAACATGACGAATTTTTCCTTTTTTGGGGGGAGGGGGGGGGGGG